CCACACACACAACAGGAATCATTGTGATATATATATATATATATCGTATTGCTGTGTTTGTTATAGTTTCAGCTGCTAAACACCTTTTTCATGTGGCCATATCTGTGTGTACTCGTGCCGTGCCCCAAAAGGGTATATCCAAGAGGGAGTTCATAAGATCTCGGGATCTATTCTATATAGAGTAACCAACTTTTACAGGATAGTTTATAAATTATTTATTTATTCAATACCAAAAATTAAGAAAATTAAATGATATACCGCAAAGTTACAATTTGTTACATAGAGTCATAAGCTTAATCTCAGGATCTGTTTGATTTAGAGTAACAAATTTCACATGATCATTATACATTAATTATCAACCAACATACCAAAAATTAAACCAATCTGTTAATTTTTGAACTGAGTAACATACAATTAATAGGTATTCCATAGTCGCTATGTGACTCTTGGGGGGGCCCCCCTCCCCATTCGTATCTGTGTGTAATTTGTTTAAACAAATTAAGTACGGGGGCTCCAGTTGATTTTGAGTTTTTCAGCTGCTGACGTCGCTTTGTCACTGTCAGGCAGCCGAAACCGTGAACTATGCCAGTATTGGTAGTGCCGGACTCACAGATACTCGCTCGCCCCCGCAGACTGTTATCGCCAGAGCCACAAAAAAAGAATTTCGAATTTGTTTAACCTTTTTTTCTCGGTTTTTGTGTCGCCGTTAAAGTTTTTAATGAGTTGGCCAAAAAAAAAGAAGAAAAATTAATAAATAAAGGGGGAAAAAAAGTGTGCCTTTAAATATTTACACAGCATTTTTCGGGGCATTCGTTATTAATATTTTCTCTTGTTGTTTTTGTATTTGTTTTTTTATTTAACAAGCCAGAAGGGCCGTCAATGAAGTAAAGCAATTACCTTTAATTTTATGGTTCTCCCAGTTCGATTTTAATTTATTATTTTTAACAAAGTGAATTGATTAAATTAGCTGTTTCCTTTAAGCTTTTCTCAGTTGAATTTCGCCTATTCTGAGGGTCCTTAAAGCCGCATAAGTTTCTATTCTTTCTCTCCCTCTCTCTCTCTCCCCTTTATTTGGTCCAGTTTTTCCTGGCTGACGCCATTTTTCATTCGGGGGTCCTGCCACGAGGACGAGCACCTAAAAACAGGACGACCATGTGGCGGCTGCTGCTTTCCTTTCCTTTCTGCCTGGTTTTTATGGCATCCCCACACTTATAGCCGCCCCAAACCGTAACCTTTTGGCCATAAAACCGAATCCTTCGACTTCGTGTGGTGTGTGTGTGTGTGCAAGGATGGGGGCATAAATTAGCACAATCAACGTATTGTTTTCGGCTTGCCACGCCCCCCATTTCTAGCCCACGAAAAACAGTCAATAACACAAGAACGTTATAAATAACAAAAGTACAAGGAGCGTGGGGAACTCCCCACTCGCCTTCATATTTTCCCTGTGTCCTGATAATTTGCGCAAAAGTTCTATTAATATGTTAATTCTTAATTGTCCTACTTGGCCGCACAGATATATACTACCAGCTGATATATATATATTCAGATATATATATGTAGATATTAATAGCCGGAGACTTGCATTAAATGGCCAGGAGGGCTTTCAGCTCGCAGCTCGTAAATATTTGAGTTAAGCTGCGCGGTTAACAAATCGACGCACTTCAATTTATTTCCCGGGGGCCAGAAGCAGCAGCAGCAGCAGCTGCTGAATTAATTACGCATATCCTGGCGGAAAATTGGGGGGGCTTCTCAGATCGGATATATGTATATAAATATATATGGCAATGACATCACACTAGGCCATAAATATCAAACAACTCGCAAGGATTTCAGTGAAGGGAAAACAAAGGAAAATGCAGAACTTGAGAGTTACTTTCAACGGTGGGAATTTACTTATACTTACAAGTGAATTATAAGTATCCAAGCTTAAAATATTCGATAATAGAATTAAACAATATTTTTATATGTATATTTTGACGACTAATTAATATTTAAAAATCGCATAACTCAGCCAAAAAGGCCTTAATTTTAATTCGGAAGTCAGTCTTGTATTAGGTTTTATTAGTATAACAATTTGCTTACCTCATTTAAAATTTAGAAAATTGAAATTTTTATCAATTTTATGAAAATTTTAATGATTTAACCCCTTATAAAGCTTTTAAGCTTTTGACTAAAACTAAAATACCCTTTATTAATATAAATTTACAAATCAAAAGAAGACAACTATTTCCTAGACAATCTTCTTAATAAATCGCTAATTTTAGTACTCCTGCTCTATAAATTTTGTATTTATTTCGACTTATAAATAAATACTCATATATTAAACTCTCATATATTTAATCACTTCAATCGCATTCGATTTGGCCGAATGAGAAAGGGGTTAATGCAATTTATGACTGACTTTCAGCTGGCATTCTTTTATGAAATCTATTTGGCAAGGACTCTGTTGACACTTGTCAGGCGACTCTGACACGTTTGACAGTTTCACAACACACTACCGAATCCTGCCGAATCCTGCCGAATCCTGCCGCATCCTGGCACCCTTTACCTTTTGGCTCTGGACAGCTGCTGTCCTTAACCCCCTCCCACACACACAAATTAACCCTCTTCAGCTGGCGCAATATTGTGCATGCTGTCAATAAGTTTTTGCCCCGCCAGCTCTTCATAAATACAAAATACACTATATATATATAGAAAACCCAACTTGCAGTCTGTCTTTCTGCTAATCTCACTGGCAAACATCTAATCTAATCGCTTAGGCAAATATCGGGCAACGCCCCCGTTACGTTTCATTCCCCTTTTTTTTAGCCACGCCTCGGCAATACAGAAAAAAAGAAAAAATAAAAACAGGTAATAGCCAAAGGTGAGTGTTGCCGCTTACCTGCTTTTTTTTTGGGCCTGGCCAATTGCCGTGGCTGGCCAATCAATAAATACCACAATAATCAGCTGGAAAATGCCCACCAAAAAGGCGGGGAAAAAAACATATTCTTTTTATAGAAAAAAAGGAAAGTAGGAAAAACTAGCGCGGTGGGGAAAATTGAAGCGAAAATTGAGCGTGGCCACCCAGGCAATCAGCAGAAATTACGGCAACATCGTGTTCATATGTGTCACCCCAGAAGCAGGACAATCAATTGATAAAAAAAAGAAATAAAGGAGAGGGAAAAGCAGGGAAAGCATCGGTCATGGACAAGGGAAAAGCCATCGAAAAGGAGGAGGAGTATGAGGATATCCCCGCTTAGGGCGCATTAGTTATTGTTTGGACCCGGGCAAACCGCAAATTGCTCAAACTGCCCTCCGGAATGGACACAAAAAACGAGGAAAATAAAAATACACACACACACAGACAAAAACACCCACAGAATCTATATGTATATATATATAGAAAAAAAGGACAAGTGGCAAAGCGACAGGGAGTCAATAATTCATAGATCTATTTCCTAATTGACAACACTGTGTGCCGCCTGTCCTGTAATTGAGGATGATGTCCTCGACGAAAGTCTGACAATTGAGGGATAAAAAATGGCTATATCATATATATTTATATCTAGCCTTTAATGGGTGTAATAAAAATCATGTTTAAGGGGAGAAATTATATATAATAATGATGAAAATAATCAAGAATGCATAATAATAATTGATTTGTTGATAAATCTATAAATAAATATTTTAAAAGTATAATGAATATAGTAATAATAAGTAGAAATATAATTCAAGTAGTAAATATTACTAAAAACCTTTAAATATATTAAAAACTAAATAAAATACAAAATCACCTGAAAACATTATTTTAGGTAGTTTTTGAGGCTTTATTCTTTTCAATTTATTTAAGATCATGTAGAGTATAAAATACTGCTAATAAATAATAAAAGAAAAATAGAAAAGGGAAAAGTTGGTGAGAAAACTCCCCCCTATTTTGCTTGACCGGAAAAGAAAATAAAATAAAAACTTGTGCATTTTCGATTTCAACTTTTTTGTTTGTATGTGTCCTGCGGCAATGATGTCCTTTCTTTTCTCCCTGGACTAGTCTAGCTTACTTTTCCCCATATAGAAATATATATATATATATTTAGTTGGATATTTTCTCCACCTCCTTTATGGTCAATCAAGTCCTGTCTCTGGGAATCGAGAAAAACAAAAAAAAGTTGAACTGCCTTCGGGGCATTCGAGTTGCTGGGTTCATAGTTCATATTCCTTGGATAACTCTCCCACCTCCTGGCCTGCATTGGCATACAATATATTTATTTATGTATATTTGCCTGGTGTTGCTAATTTCTGGCCAGAGATAAGCCATGACAACCGCGCCCCGAATTAATTGCAGAATGTGTGTGTGGGTTTTGCTGCTACTGGAATTTATGGTCATGGAGGGGGAGGAATCGAAATCAAATCGATCGAATCATCCACCACCATTTCCACCAGAAAATCCTTGCCACATATGCAAATAAATAGGGTTGGGGTTGTGGAATGGTCTCGGATTTTTATTGTTTTGTTCTCTGGCAAATAAATTAAAGTGCATGGAGATTGGCATTCGGCTTCGAGGCTTTCTCGGTTATCGGGTTTTTGGTTTTTGGTTTTCGGTTTTCGGTTTCTGGTTAAATATATATACTATTTGCTTATCTGGCCATATGTAAATACACTGTGCGAACAATTAATGAAGCAGGCCAGCAGCAGGAGTTGTTGTTGGGCCATAAAAATGTGACAAGGAGCCGCAAGGATTCAAATTAAGAGCCAGAATTGATGGGGTCCATAAAATAAGGACAAATTAAGAGGCAGCCTTTTGGAAACTAAATAAATCAGAGAAACCCCTCATTCTAGCAAACTTTTAGTATAGCTTAGCTTTTACATTCTCTTCATTGGAGTCTAGTAGAAAATCGAATCAGAAATAGTCCGAAAATTACTTTCAAAAATGTTTCAAGAATTTCTCGAAGCTTATTGTAAGATTTCCAATAGATTCTTTTTACTAATGATAAAAAACGCTTTCATCTCTCTTGCTTTCCGATTAGATTCCGATTCCACAGAGAACGATGCCGTGGCCACGCAGGACATCCTCACATGCGGCGCCTGCCAAAAGGCTTTCGCCCTCTCGGACATTGTCAAGTTCATCCAGCACAAGGTGCATCAGTGCAACAAGGAGAACTATGGCCAGTGTGCCACACAGAATCCGCAAATGGATCGCGATGCGGAGGAGGGGCGTCCCCTCAGTCTGGTCAATCGCCGGCCCTCGATCTCTGCCCCCATTTCTGCCCGCAAGATCACCACCGTGCCGGGATCGGGATCGGGTGTAACCGGAGGAGTAAGTGCAGCATCCGCAGCAGCGGCAGCAGCAGCCACTGCGGCAGCCACAGCAGCAGCAGCAGCAGCAGCGGCAGCAGCAGCGGCGGCCAGCAGCACGGCCAGCGGTTCAAGGATACACACACCACCACCGAGTCCTGCGGATTTGCTGGCCGATGGAGCCAGCAGCACGCCCAAGCGGCTAGTAGATGGTAGGTTCCAGGATCTAAAATCCATAGAGATCCGAACTAATCAGCTTGGAATCCTTTGATTGCTTTATAGAAAACGACAATACCACGCCCAAGGACAGCGAGCCGGCGGCCACCAATACCAATTTGGATTTAATGCCGGTGGTCCCACAAGTCCTGCGGCCATTGAGCGTCAGTCCACCGGCGATAGTAGCTGCGATGAGGATCTTGATCAGGATACAGCCAAGGTCAAGCAGGAGCCCTACGAGGAGCAGCAACAGCAACGGCTCGATGGCAGCAGGAGCAGGATCAGGAGGATGAGGATATGGATATGGAGGAGCAGCGTGAACAGTCGGCGGCCAAGCGACCCAAAATGGAGCTGGTCGATGCCGAGGCCAATACAGTCCATACAGGTGAGTCGTGAGTCCTTGCTTTTTCCGGGGTTTTTCTGTGTGTGGTGGTGTGTGGTGTGTGTTGTGCCTCCTTCCGCACACATTTTTGGGTGGCAAAATTAAAATTCCGCCCTCTGCAGTGGCAAAAATGTGTTTGATGTGCGCCAGGTTATGGGTCATATGATGATCGGGCCGCGGGCCCTCGACGATAAGCTGCAGCTGCATTATGAACCCTCCTCTCCCTGCACACACAACGAAAAATAAAATCCAAAACCGAAATCCCAAATATAAAAAAAAAAATGTAGAAAAAGCGCGGACACTGCGGGCATCAAGGACTTCAAAGCCCTTGCTGATAAACTGCAGGAAGGACACTCGCTCGGACAGCGTGACAATCGAAGCAGGACCACTCACTCTCTCTCTCTCTCTCTCTCCTTTTGGCCCTTTGACTTTGACATTTCAATGCGAAATGCTGATGAAAAGCCAAAGACAGCTATTAAAAAACAAAACAACAACAAGAGCAGCAAAAAAAGGACGTAACTGCATGCAGGAGGGTAACCCAGGCAGGACAACAAAGCTCAGCTCCGAAGCTGCCCTCGAGGGTAATTTGAATGCCTCAAAAACAGCCAAGGAATGTCCTTTGCCACATCAACAACAACAAGACAGCAAAAAAGGAGTAGACTGCAGGGAGGGATTGGGGGGGGGAGGGGAGAAACAGGACCACTTGACTGGACAAAGGACCTCTCGCACTGGACTTGACACACGCACAAAAGCGCTGGAAAAAAAAGCAAAGAGAACCAAAGAGAGACCCTCGGTCAGTTTGGAATGATTTTTTCCATATAGAAAAGTGTACACATTTCTTGTTGAAACTTGGACACGTGCCAAAAAAGGGGATGGGGTACAGGAGGTGCCGGGTCAAAGGTCACTCAGGTAAAACAGCGACAACCGGCGAAGGTCGCGTGTCAACGCCAAAGCGATTGACTTGCAAACATTATCAGCAAAGGCTGAAAAGTCCTTAAAATATATAAATGCAGCTTCCATCTATTAATACAGAGAGAGAAAATAGGTGTATAGAAATAGAAAATACCTAAAAGGTAATTTAAAGCTTAGATTTCTTAAGAAAATACATGGAAAATAATATTAAATTCAGAAAAAAACTCAACCAGACTTTATATATTTTTATAATGATAAATCTCATAATAGAAACTGAAGTTATATCTATTTTGTTCCATTTTCGTTCAGTGTTGAGCTGCTTAGGCTTAGGGGTTGGGGTGCAAGGGTTAAAGAGCTACACATACGCCAAGCGACCAGGCCAATTTAACCCTTGAACTTTTGCGCTTTTGACACGAACAAGAAGACAACAAAAACGATGGGGAAAAATACAAAAAAAAGAATATAACAGCAACAAAAACAAGTTGTTTCGACTCTGACAATGCCTCTCAACTGACAAGTCGCAGATACAGTTACAGATACAGATACAAATACAGATGCAGATACATTTACAGATACAGCAAAGTATCTGCGTTAATTACGCATTGTTTTTCGCCTCGTTTTTTTTTTCTCCTCCCCCGCCTGTCGAACCCAACTCCCCTCCCCCCCTGGCTTCTTTTTTTTTTGGACCAACAATGGCCATTTGGTAATTATAAATATGGAGCTGGTGGGCATGGCAACCCAGTCACTCATCCATCCATCCATCCATTCGTTGGAAAATACATTATACATAAAAAAGAGCATGCACAACTGTCAACAAAATGGATATTTGTTGCAACAAAAAAAAAAAAATAATATATCCAAATGCGGCAGGACATGAACTTTTTCCACACCTGTCAGTGTGTTAATTATCCAAATATATATATGTAGATTCTTTTTGTGGCAGGACACACAGCGTGTCGCGACCACAGCGACAATGAAACACCATCAGAGCTCAGAGCAGCGGCATGAGTGGGTTAAGGTTTAAGGGTAATGGGTTAAGGGTTACGGCTTACAGGTTACAGACCGGGCCAAGGGATACCGCAACTTTTGGCCATTCAATTATTGACTCATGCTGGCACTAAGCCAGCCAAGCATCGCCGAATGGTCGAATGGTCGAAATCAATGGCTAATGCCCTCGGCTCATGCAATTTCACGTTCAAGGATTAGATGCTCCCGGGTCCTTTGTGTAAAAGGCGGAAAGAAAAGGGAGAGAGAGGAGGAGAGCAGCTTAGAAGGGATTTTGCATGGAGCAGCAGCATCCTCTCGGGGTTGCTCTGTTGCAACAATTATCCCATTACAGGCAACCCTTTTTTTTACATATACTTATTTTTATTTATTTGTTGTGAGAGATCCCACCCGCTGGCATTGCCCATACGCACTGTTGGCCCTGCTATACTGCACTTCCTGGCGGTCAATTTGGCATTTCCGGTGCTAGAAGACATCCGGCCAAAGGGAAAACGCACAGAGAGAGAAAAGGGGGATAATAGAGTAAGGGAATTAAAGGATATATCTGAAATATAAGAAACTTTTTAGGGGGGTTTAAGATGAAAAATATTTAGAACAGTCTTGGAAATGTTTTCTTTAAATGTTTTCATGTTTATTTAAAATTGATTTCCTTCTAAAGCATTAAAACTAATATAAAAGCTGCCATAATAAATGGTTTCTATTATTCTTCTATGATTAAATGTTTATTTTAATTGCTTTTTTCTAAAGCATTAAAACTAATACAATAGCTGCTATATTATATAATTCTTTTCTTTTCTTTAATTTCTTTATATATTTGCATACTATAAATGCATTAAATAAATTTCCAAGTATACCAAGGACAGCTGTTGTTGTTAAAAAATCAGTAGAACGTGCCAAACCCGCGTCCTGGCGCATCCTTTTCATAGGCTTTCGATCCTGTTTGTTTGTGTTTTTTTCTCCCCGTTTTTTATTGTATTATTTTCCACATAATTATTAAGGCGAAGCGCGTGCGCATCGCGAGCTGCGATCCGAAAAGGATAAATGCCTGATGTTTTTCGACAACTTTTACCTCTTTACCTCGTCTCTTTTTTATCTTTTATTGTTAACGAGGTAGCGCAACCCTTGGTAGCATTATCTGTCAGATTCATTTGCATTTCCTGCGGCATGCGGGCAGATCTACCCCGATCTCCTGCGACGATCTCGGGGCGATCCTTGATCCTGGCTGCCAAAAGGGTCGCGACGAAATCATGTTAAACACGGCTCACCTTTGACAGGAAGCTGAGGGAAGCGACTCGGCTAGCAAGCCTCCCTTGAAGCCATAAAAATATATCGAAAAAAAGGAAAAGGAAAAGTGTGGAGCGTGTCCGCCTCGCTTCCATTTTCCATTTATTTCAGGATAATTTTCGGTTAAATTTTCATTTCGTGCGTTCTTCCTTTTCTTTTTTGTATTTTTTAAAGCGTCATTTAAATGCAGAGAACGTCGTCATAGTCACGGGGGTAGTTCCTCTCTTTTATCCTTGCGAGGCATTAACACCTTGTTGTCCTTGCTGGCGACATGTGGCCGAAGGAGCAAACCATCCTGCCATTCGCTTTCCATTTTTATTTATTATATATATATATGTACATGAAAAATAGAAGAGAAAAATATACTTGGCTATCTTCGAAAGTGTCCCGCACATTTTTCATAAATTTTCCAATTTTACATCTGTTGCACAAGAGGGGGAGTAGGAAGGACATGTGTCGCAGGACATGGGTGGTTTGGCGGCTGCCATTTCCGCCATGGCAAATTAACAAATGTCGCGACAAAACCGCAACAACGCGGCCAGAAAACTAAAAAGGACACACATGTGTGTCCTGCGTGTCCTGTGTGTGGGGGGGGGGGAGGCGGCAATATCCTTGGCAATATTGGCAATCTCCGTCCGCATGTAATGCGTGTCCTGGCGCATTTTGGCATGCCAACCGCTGCAAAATCAATAAATAAATAAATACTCGCCTCGTTCCCGGCCTCGTCCTGGCCTCGTCCTGTCCCCGTTCTGGCCTCATCCTGGCTCCTAGCTAACACATCCTGTATGGCACCACCAAGCTCATTAATAATTAATAACGAAATTGCCAGGCAACCTCTCTACGCCGCTTGTACTTTTGCCGGGAAAACCATTTAGTTGCTCAAATTCACAGAGTTTTGCCTGCAAAAAATAATTAAAACTTTAATTTCCTGCTAAATTACAAGAGTAAATTGATTTTACAAATTAAGATCTCAGATTAGTTTAATATTTTAATCAAATACAATTCTGGGGGCTTAAAATGGTTTCAAAAGCTGAAACTAAGTGAAGGAGTCATTTCCGACCCTATAAACCATATATAATCTTGATCAGGATTAAAAGACGAATCGATTGAGCCATGTCCGGGCAAAATTTAATTTTTTCAAATTTTTTAAAATTTTAAAGGGGTTACATCATTAAAATTTGCAAAATTAATAAAAATTTAATTTTTAAAATTCTTAACTGAGTATGCAGAATTGTAAAGCTAATAAAAACTAGCATAGGAACGGTTTCCGAATTAAAATTAATGCTTTTTGGCTGAGTTATGGATTTTTAAACTGTGATTTTGTCAAAATTTTATCATAAAAATATTGATTCAAAGAAAGCGAATATTTTAAGCTTATTATGTTATAAATAAACTTTTTAAGAATATTTTTAATTAGTTTAAACAATTAAATAAACCCTTTTCGGGTATTCTTATTTTTCCAGAGCCCAGCAACTACACCTGCTCCACGTGCAAGACCCGCTACACCTCCGCCTGGCGCCTCATCCAGCATGTCCAGCACTCGCATGGCGTCAAGATCTATGTGGAGAGTCCGGGAGGCAATGGCAATGGAGCCACCTTGACGGTGGCCACTCCGGCGGCTCTGAATAGCAGTGCATTGGCTCTGGCTGCCGCTGCAGCAGCTGCAGCTGCCGCCGCCTCGGGTCTGTCGAGTCCACAGCCAACGGCCATGAGTCCCAGTCCCAAGAGGAGCAGCCCAGGAGCTCCAGGCATCCTCTCCAGCTCCGTGAGCTCCGTCTGTTCCAATTCGCTGGTGAATACCAGCGGTGGCAGCAACAACACCAGCACCAATAGCATTGGATCGCCCCAGCATCAGCATCAGCAACAGTTGCAGCTGCAGCAAGTGCAACAGCAGCAGCAGCAGCAACAGCAGCAGCAGGCCGCCCAGCAGCAGCGTGTGCAGCAACAGCAACGTGAGAATCTGGCCTCGGCCATGGCCGCTGGAATGAGGCATCATCCTTTGTTGCCGCCACCGGAGGCCATGCATGCCAATCCCTTCCAGCTGCTGCGCATGCCACTGCCCGGCAATGTAGTTCCTACGGTGGCCCCACTTTTCGGTCGCCCCTCGCCCGCCGATCACTACCGGATGGAGCAGCTGGTTAGCGAGCAGTTCCGTCATCATGGCTTCAATCTGGCCGCCGCTGCGGCCGCTGCCCAGGCTCAGGCCTTCAATGGTGCTGTCCAGCAGGTCCAGGAGCCGCGTCCCCCATCGTCCAGCAGCAGTGGCAGCCAGCGTGGCTCTGTACCACCGGCAGCCCTGCCACCAGTATCCCTCAGCTCCCAGCAGCAGCAGCAGCAGCAACAGCAGCAGCAGCAGCAACAACAGCAGCAGCAGCAACAGAGCGTGCAACAGCAATCACAGAACCTGCAGCAGCAGCAGCAGCAACAATCCCAGCAGCAGCAGCAGCAGCCACCGCAGCAGCTCACACCCGGCCTGATGGGCGGCAGTGTGGCTGGAGCTGGGGGAGCGGGAGCTCCTGCTGGCGCCTCCCTGAAGCTGGAACCACAGCAGATGGATTTTTACTCGCAGCGATTGCGTCAGCTTGCGGGCACAACAAGCCCTGGAGCTGGCAGCACTGTTAACTCGAGCTCGCCGAGTCCACGACAGAAGCAATCGCCGCATTTTGCGAGCCCCTCGCCAGCCTCCGCCGGCGCCCAGCAGCAGCAGCCCCTGGTGGGTCATCCCACCCGGCCCCATTCTCTTACCCCGCCCGAAAAGATGACCACATCGGTGGGTGGAGCTGAAAATGGTGGCCTGGTGGTCTCATCCTGGCCAGCACTCCACGCTCGGCCAGCACGCCGCCCTCGAAGACAAGCAACAGTGGCCAGGAGCAGCAGCTCTCCAGCCGGAGCATTGCTTCGCCTGCGACTACTGCGACAAGAAATTCCGCTTCGAGAACAATCTCATTATCCACCAGCGGACGCATACCGGCGAGAAGCCCTACAAGTGCACCGCCTGTGACTTTGAGTGCTCCCACATTCAGAAGCTAATGAAGCACATGCGTGTCCATCGCAGTCCCGCCGATGAGCAGGACGATGGCAGCAACGATGGCGCCGATTCGCTGGAAACGAATGAGGCGGACAACGATGAGGATCCGATGCCAGATGAGTCCGAGGAGGAGATGGGTGACAATGATCCGACAATGATCCCGATGGCGATCTCGATGGCGAGGAGGAGGATGAGGATGAGCTGGACGAGTGCGAGGATATGGACTACAAGGCGGAGGATTTGAGTGTAGCAATCGCTTGGATGGCAAGAGCCAGAGTCCCAAGACACCAGCTCCGGCGCCACCTCGCTGGTGGGTGAGCTCATGGACAATTTGGATTGTCCAATATTGCCCAGTACAGTGAGGCCTACAAGCAGGCTCTGCAGGAGTCGGACGCAAGGAGGCAGCCGCCGCTGCTGCAGCTGCAGCTGCTGCTGCCGCCGCCGCTGCTGCGGATAACAATAATCGCAGCGGCGGTGGAGGAGCCGTAGGAGCTACGGATAAGCTCAATGGTCTGCCTGTGGCTGCCCTGAGATTGAGGGATGAGTTTGCCAAGAACTGCAACATGTTCCAGCAGGATGCTGCCGCTGCGGCCGCTGCTGGCGGTGCCCCGTCGCAGGTGCCCCTCTTCAATCCCTTCCCCAATCCCTTCGAGCTGAGCAAGCGGATGAAGATGGACGGTGGCGACTGGTGGGGCATGTCCCAGGCCCTGCATCGCAACGAGGCGGCGCTCTTCGAGAACCTCAAGCTGAAGCCGCTGGGTCTGGGTGGAGCGGCCAATTCGCTTATCCAGGGACCGCTGCTCAAGAAGGAGAGCCGCCAGCGCAACGATACCTGCGAGTTCTGCGGCAAGGTCTTCAAGAACTGCTCCAATCTCACCGTGCACCGCCGTAGCCACACCGGCGAGAAGCCGTACAAATGCGAGCTGTGCTCCTATGCCTGCGCCCAGAGCTCCAAGCTGACGCGACACATGAAGACGCACGGGCGGACGGGCAAGGATGTGTATCGCTGCCGTTTCTGTGACATGCCCTTCAGTGTGCCCTCGACGCTGGAGAAGCACATGCGCAAATGTGTGGTGAATCAGGGCAAGGCGGCGGCAGCTGCGAATGCTGTCGCCGCAGCTCAGGCAGCCCAGGCGGCGGCCCAGCAGCTACAGGCAGCGGCAGCGGCCCAGGCGGCCCAGCAGCAGCAGCAGCATGGACAGCAGCAGCAGCAGCAACATGGACAGCAGCAACAGCAGCAGCAGCAGCAATTGTCGCCCATGGGGTGGTGGGTTACCCGCCGCAGTTCAACCTTTCGCTGCCGGGCAGCGTGTCTGGTGATAATGACTCCAATGCCTCCTCCAGCATGACCGGGGTTCATCCCATTACGCTCAAGGAGGAGGCATGACTCTTTGGCGGATTTCCCATGCCCCTGGGTCCACCGCCCACGGGGCCACATCCTCCTCCTCCTCAGCAGCAGCAGCCGCAGCAGCAGCAGCAGCCGCCGACGACCAGTCGCAGTCGCATCATGTCGCGCATCTTTTAAAGATACAACAGATATATATATATACAAATATATCCCTAGAGATATATTATGTATATGTTAGGACCCCTGTATATATGACTTTTTGTGAAAAAGTTTCGGCTCCAGCTCCAGCTCCTTCCAGGCGACAAACCACGACCAGAGGCATTTAATACCAAAGCAATAACCGTTATGTAATATAATTTTAAAACATTCAAAACGTACTATTTTTTTTCTACTCTAAAAAAACTAAACAAAAAACCACCCCCTTGGCCCACACACACACATGAACGTAAACCTCCCTTGATTTTTTTTGTGCTTGTAATTTATATATTTAATTATAGATATATATATAGTATATATATACCTATGTGTAGTAATAATCGGACACACGTTTTCCAGTGTATTTTCTAGCAAGTAATTTAAAATTAACATTAACAAAGTGAAGAAGAAAAAGAAAACACAGAAAAAAATATTTAAAAATGACAAAAATTCACACAAAATAAGCAAAATTATACTCTAATTAATATCTCTATATATATATATAACTAGATATATATATATGCGAATACGATGTATATGTGGTTGCGAGTGAATGAGTGCGTATTTTGTTCATCGATGTACATTTTTTTTTATATAGAAAATCTAGAAATCTAGCCCTAAAGACGAACACTTGTAAAAATTCTCTACTTTATGGTACGCATAAAATATAGTCCTTGATTTCCTTTATCCCTTTATTACTATTATTATTATTTCCATTTTTTTGCCTAGACATAATTCTATTATTAAATGTAATTTAAAAACGAGAAAAAACGAAAATAATCAAATTTTTTTACATACATAAATAAATCTATATATATATATATTATATATAAATGTAAAACACAAATTTTTTTTAAACAATTTTAGAACTAAGCTCAGCGAAAAAAAATTGGCAAAAAATAAGACGAGGAAAACGAAGGTTTAATGAAGAAAGAGAGCTGCAAATTTGTACGTAAAACTTCAAGAGAAAATATAAAAGAATATATATAAAAGGAGGATATAATAAAAGATATAAAAAAGGAAGCAATTAAAAAGAGATGGATACCGAAACAACAACAAACAAAACTAGATTTAGAAGACTGAAGAACTGAGAACGAAAAAGAAATATAAATAATTTAAAAACAAACAAAAGACAGAGGCAACCGAAAGAGACACTGAGCGAAAAATCGGACCCTGAGTGAAGGCGAGCATTTTTTTACTAAATTGTTTTTTTGCTGTTGATTTTCGTTATTTGATTGGAAACTAAAAAAAAGAAAGAAATCTTAGAAAACAAGAAGTGAAAATTTTGATTAATGATTAAATATTTAATATTGTTTGTTTTTAGCGCAAAAATTACACACCCACATATATATATATCTATATATTGGACATTAGTTTAAACTTTGTTTGTTTCTTTTCTTCTTTTTTTTTGGACACACATTCCCCCTTCCCCCTAAAAGAAACCCACCAAAAAAAGAAAAGAGGAAATCTAAAATCCCACTGGCAATGTGATTTCAACTGAATTTTAATAATATTAATATTAAATTCCTGCTAAATCGCATTGCTACTGGCGATTTGTAGTCCGATTATCAAGGAAGTTTTACCGTGCATAATTTGTACTAAATTTAAGCGAAATATATATGTGTTTCACAACCCCCGACACACCCTATATACTATATATGAATATGGCAACAACAAAAACTGAATAAACAAAAGCCCAAGAAAAATACAAAACCACACGAGTTATGTTTCATTTTTATAAATATTATTATGATTTGTTTTCTAGATTTTTTAATGTAATTTTCCCAAGCAAAAAACAGTGGAAAAATGTGGAATAAAACGGAAGCGGAAACAGAAACCGAAATGGAAACGGAACGAATTGAAACATAGCCAGCAAGCAACACTAAAACTATCATTAAATCTTAGAAAATTAATTGTAGCTATAAAAAAAAAAAACAAAATCTTTATACTAAAAATAAAACCCAGAATAGGACAACAAATCCAGCTAACTGTTGTTGTCTCATTTTGGCCGAAGGAATAAGTATAAAGCTTGGATTCTCAAAACATTTATAACAAAGAAACCAAAACAAATATTTTTCAAGTGTGTGTAATTTTTTGAAAGTAACAATAATTAATTCGAAAACGGAAACACAAATCGAAAGGAAAACCAAATAAACAGAATAAAAATAAATCAAACACAAAAAATAAACAAAAACCAAACAAAATTTAAAAAGTAATAATTAAAAGATAGTTGTCTGTGTTACAAAAATACGAAAAACGAAAAAACCAAAAATACATACAAATTGCGAAGAATTGTAAATTATCAAAAGACTTTTATTTGCCATTATTAGAAGGATCTCCTCCTTTGGCATAGGGAGGGTTTTTATGGTTGGAGGTACTTTTTTATAGCAACCCGCAGCCTGAAAGTAGGCACCACGAAAATAGGGAGGAACCGATCGTGCTGTTCGAAAAGCGTTGCCTACTTCAGAGGGACACACCAGATGGCGCCTCGGAGGGTGTCAGGCTCGTTCCATTTCCCTCTCGCTCACTCGAGCATTCGACCAAGCTGACCAATCCAACGCCACTGGCCGCCCCCCAATTGTCATGTGCGAAAACTTCAATTGGCATCTGGCAGGCACACACACACACACACACACTTATCCTGCTGCCAGCCGAACCTCACATATGTCGCGCTGCCGGCGTCGCAGTCAGCAAGCCACCCGCACACACACACACACCCAACCGCGTCCACTGGCCAGTTCCAACCAGCGCGGTCGAGCATGTTCGAAGAGAGAGGCAGAGAGAGGCGGTCGAGGTTGCAAACGGACACCAGTTGAAGTTCGCAGCCACCAGTGTTTTTTTCATACACTTGCATGGTATTAAAATTTTAGTTGGAAAATCGAAAACGCAATGAAGGAGTCATTTCCGACCCTATAAATCATATATATTCTAGATCAGCATCAACAGGCGAATCTTTTAAGCCATCTCCGGCCGAAAAAATTTTTTTCCGAAATTTCCCATTTTTGTAAAAAAAGGAAAGGGGTTACATCATGAAAAATTGCGAAAATCGGACAAAAATTCACATTTTAAATGGAGTATGCAGTTTTGTTAACCTGCTAAAAATTAGCATACGGCCGCTTTCCGAATTGAAATTAATGCGTGTTTGGCTTAGTTATGAGATTTTTAAATTTTGATTTGTCGAAAAATTTCATATAATAATATCGTTAATATCGGTACAAAAATGGTAATGGACCTTCAATCAGAAGCTGAAAAGAAAGTGAAGGAGTCATTTCCGACCCTATAAATCATATATATTCTTGATCAGCATCAACAGGCGAATCTTTTAAGCCATCTCCGGCCGAAAAAAATTTTTTCCGAAATTTCCCATTTTTGTAAAAAAAGGAAAGGGGTTACATCATGAAAAATTGCGAAAATCGGACAAAAATTCACATTTTAAATGGAGTATGCAGTTTTGTTAACCTGCTAAAAATTAGCATACGGCCGCTTTCCGAATTGAAATTAATGCGTGTTTGGCTTAGTTATGAGATTTTTAAATTTTGATTTGTCGAAAAATTTCATATAATAATATCGTTAATATCGGTACAAAAATGGTAATGGACCTTCAATCAGAAGCTGAAAAGAAAGTGAAGGAGTCATTTCCGACCCTATAAATCATATATATTCTTGATCAGCATCAACAGGCGAATCTTTTAAGCCATCTCCGGCCGAAAAAATTTTTTTCCGAAATTTCCCATTTTTGTAAAAAAAGGAAAGGGGTTACATCATGAAAAATTGCGAAAATCGGACAAAAATTCACATTTTAAATGGAGTATGCAGTTTTGTTAACCTGCTAAAAATTAGCATACGGCCGCTTTCCGAATTGAAATTAATGCGTGTTTGGCTTAGTTATGAGATTTTTAAATTTTGATTTGTCGAAAAATTTCATATAATAATATCGTTAATATCGGTACAAAAATGGTAATGGACCTTCAATCAGAAGCTGAAAAGAAAGTGAAGGAGTCATTTCCGACCCTATAAATCATATATATTCTTGATCAGCATCAACAGGCGAATCTTTTAAGCCATCTCCGGCCGAAAAAAATTTTTTTCCGAAATTTCCCATTTTTGTAAAAAAAGGAAAGGGGTTACATCATGAAAAATTGCGAAAATCGGACAAAAATTCACATTTTAAATGGAGTATGCAGTTTTGTTAACCTGCTAAAAATTAGCATACGGCCGCTTTCCGAATTGAAATTAATGCGTGTTTGGCTTAGTTATGAGATTTTTAAATTTTGATTTGTCGAAAAATTTCATATAATAATATCGTTAATATCGGTACAAAAATGGTAATGGACCTTCAATCAGAAGCTGAAAAGAAAGTGAAGGAGTCATTTCCGACCCTATAAATCATATATATTCTTGATCAGCATCAACAGGCGAATCTTTTAAGCCATCTCCGGCCGAAAAAAATTTTTTCCGAAATTTCCCATTTTTGTAAAAAAAGGAAAGGGGTTACATCATGAAAAATTGCGAAAATCGGACAAAAATTCACATTTTAAATGGAGTATGCAGTTTTGTTAACCTGCTAAAAATTAGCATACGGCCGCTTTCCGAATTGAAATTAATGCGTGTTTGGCTTAGTTATGAGATTTTTAAATTTTGATTTGTCGAAAAATTTCATATAATAATATCGTTAATATCGGTACAAAAATGGTAATGGACCTTCAATCAGAAGCTGAAAAGAAAGTGAAGGAGTCATTTCCGACCCTATAAATCATATATATTCTTGATCAGCATCAACAGGCGAATCTTTTAAGCCATCTCCGGCCGAAAAAATTTTTTTCCGAAATTTCCCATTTTTGTAAAAAAAGGAAAGGGGTTACATCATGAAAAATTGCGAAAATCGGACAAAAATTCACATTTTAAATGGAGTATGCAGTTTTGTTAACCTGCTAAAAATTAGCATACGGCCGCTTTCCGAATTGAAATTAATGCGTGTTTGGCTTAGTTATGAGATTTTTAAATTTTGATTTGTCGAAAAATTTCATATAATAATATCGTTAATATCGGTACAAAAATGGTAATGGACCTTCAATCAGAAGCTGAAAAGAAAGTGAAGGAGTCATTTCCGACCCTATAAATCATATATATTCTTGATCAGCATCAACAGGCGAATCTTTTAAGCCATCTCCGGCCGAAAAAATTTTTTTCCGAA